AATGTTTCGAAAAAAGTTGTTAGAGTTTGATAATTTACAGACGGAGGAATATATAACACAATCACGTAAAAATGGGCGGCATCATGAAGAGAAACCTTAATTCCAACTATATCAATATTGGGAGCTACCTTAGCAACTGAGTCCATATTTAAACTTTCACACACAAAATTGTTTTTAAGAGCAATTAAAACGCCTCCCCCTCTGTTGACTCCTGGAATATTGCGATCGCCTCGATAAACGTTGAAATCTGTTGGAAACAGCTCACAATCGTTAATATCTTTTGTAAGCCATGTTTCGGATAGGCATATGATATCATATTCAGTACTGACTATGGAATTGTAAAAATTTGCGACCTTGGACCTTAGACCACGTACATTTTGATAATAACATGTTAGAAGACCAGAATTGTTGCTGTATTTGGGTGGAATTAGTTTAAATTAACTTGATTACTTGTCGATTGGGTTTGGATAATTTTTGGTAGGCCTTGGACATATTTAATTATTAGATTATTCTCACCGCTGGCAGTTCTTCGTTGTAGTTCGGTGCGAACGTCCTTGTAATGGGCTTGCTGCTTGGGTGTACGATCAAAAGCGATTGATATTCCGGAAAGTCTGGCATTTTTCTTGAGATTGTGGGCATTTTTGATAATGCTGTGTACTTGAAATTCGTTGCTTAAAGTAATTTTGATGGGACGCGGGCGGGTGTTTGCTGTATTATATCGTCCAAGTCTTAGATGGTGGATGGTAGTATTATCAAAGGGAACAGTAGGCGTAATTGTGGAGATAATTTCGGAGATTAGGTCGTCTTCATTGTTCTTACGCACATTTGTGGGCAGAGATGCATTTTGCTCTTGAGCTCCGTAAATTATGATATTGCGTTTACGAGCTTGTCGATCATTGATTTCTTGACAAATCAGTTCAAACTGTTCGCTACTATGCCGATGGATATCTTCTTTTAATTTATCGATTTTTGCATCTACATCATGTGTGACTTTCTTTAACGTGTCGAAAAGTTCATTTTTAAGAGATGATAATAGATTTTGAAAGTCTTTAAATTTGCTAATGTTGTCACTGCAATTGTTGCAGAGTAATTTGACATTTCTTGATTTTGATGTCGTTAGTTTCATATCATTGTCAGAAAGTCCAGCGCAGGATTGATGTAATGGCCCACGGCAAGCATCACAGTGTATAACTGGAGCACCAGCTGAAGCTTTCAAACAGTTATGCATGGAATCATGTATTCATCTGGATTTTGAAAATTACTTTTTGCAGTAAATATTCTTCATCAAAAGTATTATCCAAGAACTCCTCTATTTCTTCGAGTGTGAACACCTTGGATTTCCTTGGTGTGTGCCCCACAGACTGTTGTTTTAGGAAAGCTGGCACTTTATGAAATCTAAATCATAAATGTTTAATTCATTTCACACAACGACAAATTATTTTTGTAGTAAAAATTGTTGATGTCATTTCCGATGATCTCAACAGAATATGTTTACTATCAAATAGATCGGTACAAATTTGTCCAAAAGGACTTATCTTCAAAAATAAACTTATTGGGGTTGTATCAAATAAAAAATAGACCCGGTATGTTAACAAATGTATATATGTTTATCTGTATATCACCACGTTATTTATTGTTTTAGGAGCCAATTCCAAGTTGTCCAGTTGCGCCGGCGCAAGTCACTGGTGCAGCGCAACTTCGTAATGCTGATTTGGGTATCAAATGCTGGTTGCTAGGGGTGACGAAATAAACAAACGCACTTGTGTCGAATTTTCCATTGCAGTTTGCACCATGGAGTTGCGGCACCTCTAGTAGGCAGTGCAAGTTGGCGCAATTTATCTCGAAAAATTTTAGAAGTTTATTGTCAGTGATAGTGAGTGTCTTTGCGTGTTAGTGAGTGTGCTGGGGCCGGTTTTGATTTTTGTGCATACAGTAAATAATCCTCAAAATGCCTAAGGTAAAATTATCCATGAAAGATAAAATCAAATTATGGTTAGGGAATAATTTGGACACTAATTTTCAATTTCCTTCTTCAACCAAAGACAATGAGTTAATCTGCAAAGAGTGTGGAAAAGTTGTAAATAAACATTTAAAATACTGAAGCTTGAATTATGTTCACATTTTTGTTTCCTAGTTTAAGTGCGAAAAAAAAATCACACTTTGAACAACACTGCAGTGGCGATGCACATAAAAAGAACGAGAATAAATCCAGTAAACAGACTTTATTAAACATTAGTTCCGACAATGATTTTACGCAATTTTGCAGCGATTTATGTAGGGAATTTACCGCAGCAAATATTCCATGGAATGAAGTTAGTTGTCCTGAGTTTAAAAATTTTATGCGTAAATATACAGGACGGCATTTACCTTCAGAAAGCACTCTGAGAAAAAATTATTTACCAAAAGATTACGATATGGTGAGCACTAGAATTTTTATTTAAAAACTTTTTAACATAAATTTTATAATTTACAGGTAATTAAACAAATTATAAATTCTGTTGGCAATAATAATATATGGATTAGCGTCGATGAGACGACGGACAGATTAGGAAGATACATAGCCCATTTAGTAATGGGAAAGTTATCTTCTGAAGAAGCTGACCGTCCATTTCTACTAGCTTTGAAGCAGCTTGATAAAACTAATAGCAACACAATCTCGAGATTCATGAACGAATCCTTGGGTGTACTATTGATAATTTTAAGCATTGAAATTATTATAATTTATTTAATTGTTAATTTGTAGCTTTATTGTGGCCAAAAGGAACTGAACACAAAAAAGTTAAATGGTTTGTATCAGGTGATGTTTCATACATGATCAAAACTGGTACTAATTTGAAGGTGTTTTATGAAAATATAACACTCTTAACATGTATGGGACATCGGTTACATTTAGTTTCTGCAACAATTAGACTGAATTATCCAGATGTCAATGGGATAATTAGCAATGTTAAGAAAATAATTTTAAAAGCACCAATAAAATTAGAGTTTTATGAAAACAGTTTACCAAATAGACCTCTCCCACCTGAACCTGCATTAACCAGATGGGGCACTTGGATTCAAGCAGCATTCTTTTATGCAGAACACTTTGATGTTTTAAAACAAGTCAGTAAATATATAGTGGTTTTTTACTATCATTTTTATATTGAATATTTTTAGGTTGTAATGTCATTTGAAGCCACAGATGCACAAAGCATTAAAAATGCTCACGAATTCCTGAATAAAGCAAACGTTAAAAATGAACTCTTGTACATTAAAACTCACTTTAAAATTATTACTGATGCAATAGAACAATTAGAAACTATAGGTTTAAAATTAAACCAAAGTATGGAAATTGTGGAAAAAGTGTATACATCTTTAAAAAACACACCACGAAAGGTGGGGGAAATGGCGTTCCAAAAATTATGTTCTCTATTAAAAAAGAATCCAGGATACGATTTTATATGCTCGGTAAATAACGTAATTTGCGTTAATGGAAATGCTACCAACAATACATACATAAATGAAAACGTAGATTGTACAATATTTAATTTTGCAGCCATCACTTCTTGTGATGTGGAACGCACGTTTTCAAAACTTAAAAGTGTTTTAGGCGATCAAAGGTGTAAATTTACAATCGAAAATTTAGAGAAATATATAGTTTGCTTTTGTAACCATTTTAAATACCTGAATTAATATTTTATTTTTTGTTAAATGCGACTTGCTTTAATTTGTTCACCATTTTTTGCAAACTTAGAATTAGTAGACGTAACTATAGATCGTTTATTTATTTAATCATTTTTTTGTTTGTTACACAAAATATTTGTTTCTATAATGTTTTATTTAATGTTTTTTTTTAAATATGTATTTTTTTGATGTACGCTTTTTCGTTGAGCAAATATTGTTTCCTCCACGTTTTTAACCTGAACTAAGATTTTTATAACCTAATTCGTCAATTTTGGGGCCTAAAAATGTCCCCTTTTATTCATTTTTTAACGACCTAAAATCTGAAGCCTATTGATCTGCTAATGGGAGCTCAGAAGTCTGTAATATGACTCTAAAAGTCACAATAGAACAAAATTTATGATTAAAGACCGATAAAACATATATACATGCACGAAAAGAAAATTATAAAAACAATACACTTTCAAAAATAAGATAAATATTCTTGAAATTTTACTCAAAGGTTGTTGTAGACCACTGCGTAAAGTTGAATATATTTTTTGTGGAGTACAGTGATGTCGAAAAGTCTGGACAGGTATCGATTATCCCTACATTAATTTTAATATTAGAATTAAATTTTTCACGCTGTTTAGACTCACGAAGAGGATCAAATTTTTGTACATATATTTAAGGAGCATCTTGTACATATATCTGTCATATATAGTTTGATTTTTTGTAAGGTATTATTAACAGGTCAAACGATTTTATCATGTTCGACCTTAATTGTGCTAGTCTTCTCATGTGAACATTTCTTTATCTAACTAGGTAGAACTGCACCGGTACTTCTTCTACGCATAAATTTTTAAATTGTTTACGTCCTCTGAATAACCGCGATCTCGCCTCCTATTTTATATACTTTTAATAAGTAATAACAAAATTTATTTCCAACCGATAAGTGTCTATACTGGAACATTACGTACTTTCTATTTGGACCTACACTAAACGAATACATAGATCAAAAAGCTTAACATAACAACTGTTTTAATTTTGCATAGCGAAATTTGTAAAAAATATCTACTTTAACATTAATAACGAATAACCAAAATAAAATGCTTGGATAAAAATGAAAAAAATAACTTTCAAAATTTAAATCGCTATCGCTTTCATCAGTATATTCATTTAAATTTACAACAATTTCGTTAACATTTACCAAGAGGCGACAACAAACTTCATGCTCGACAACATGTATAGTGGGTTGTATATACATGATTCTTGGTTTTGCCTATATTCTTGATTGAAGACAATTGTAGATATTTTAGATTAAATTAATTTCGCTTGCTCAGTCAGCACAAACTAAATTTGCTTTGATTTTTATGAAAATAAAACAAGCAGCACAACAAAATAATATAAAATTATAAGAATTGATAACATAATTGGTACCGAGTCTTTGAATATTAACCAATCGAAGAGTTCTCTTTCTTTAATAGTGGTTTGTTTTCGAGCAAAGAAGCACGCTGTGTTGTTGACTGTGATAGTGAAAACCAGTTTAGATTTAAATATGTTTATAGTAACGTCATTCATTTATAGCCTAGTAATATTTACACAACTTTTAACTCGACAAGCCGATGCAGGTGTAAACTTTTATTCTACTAAAAATACAGGTAAGATTGTTAAATAAGTAGCATCAACTTAATTGATATTGAGTTATGAGTACACATAACTACGACACATAATTAGAATAAAAGACTTCGCTTGAAATGATTAATCTGAAGGACGTCGACGTTCGGGAAAACCAAAACAACAATAATCCTCGTCGTTGCACGATGCCACGAGGTTAAAACATAAAAGATAAACTCAGTGATTTAAAAACATTGACAAAAATTCTTTTTTTTTTTTCGAATTCAGTAAGTGTCATACAATGCGTTCCAAGCTTTAGCCTATGATTCGAAACGCTTAATGTTACGAAAACACACTCTGTTACTGGTTTGTAAATATTTGGTCTGGCGCGGAGTGCGAGAAAATCGGGTGAACGGTCAAACAAAAACTGTTTATTTTGTAGTTTTACATTTCAGTAAGTGTCAAAATCGTCATACCCCAAACTATCGTATAAGGCGTTCCAAGCTTTATACCGTTCTTCTTTCGGGTGATTTTTGATCTTCAAATTTTCATTAATGTCGAGGTAATAAAAATTCCCATCGTCGGTTTTGACTGGTGGCCAAGTAACATTTTGTAACAACTTGGACGGTTCTGGGGTAGGATTTCTGGAAACAAACTTTAGTACCATATTTTTCTACCTCTACAGTATTCCTACTGATATTTAATGAAATTAGTCCACAGTGTCAACAGACGTTCACGGGTTAACCTGTCCGTTTCCGGATAACTCGAAATGTCGCAACTCATACGATAACAGAAAAGATACGATAACTCTGCTCCATGACCCACACGTTCTGTATCATTGAAAGGTGCGTCTCTATGACCCAGTTGCCCATCGTACGAGAACTGATAAAAATATGCAGTCGAAGATTTGGAAAACAGCTCGGCATATTTGATTATCCCACGGTTTAAAGAAGTGTCACTGCAATACTAAAAGTCATGCTAGATTTATCACAAACAAAAAATATTTCTTACTTTAACAGCGTCCCTTAAATTATCAGCGAACGCTCTTCCTCTTGTATAAATATTTCTAATAGAAGTACCCATGGTAGTACTATCTTTAATATCCAAAATCTGCATGTCTTTAGGTACTAACCAGTCTACATGGTCGTCATAAACTTGCATTTGTTTTTTAAAAGCAGCCATATCTAGAACCAAAACACGTCTACCATTGTTAATTTCTTGGAATAACTTACCCGAAGCGAAAGATACACTTTCTTCAGAGTTGTGTCCAATTAAAATCGGTACTGAAACAAAATTCCCAGCTTTGAGCAACCCGTACATTTTTTCCGTAAGGAAAGCGTTCTCGTTTTTAACTTCAACCACAGGCGCCCAAACGAAACCTTGGAAAAGGTAGAAGTTCTCTGGATCGTTTCCCTAAAATGGTTTACTCTAAAACAATGTAAACACTCGTTAACGGTACTCACGATCTTGAAAGCATCCGCTCCTGCTTTAGCCAGTGTTTTAGAGTCAAGAGTTCGCAGGTACTCTAGTAGATCTTGAGAATTGTTGTTGGTTTTAAAATGAGAATTCAGGCGGGCAGCGGTCGCGAATGCTATTTTTCTAGGGTTTCTTTGGAAGCAGCCAGGTATTAAGTAAGTACCGCTTTGTAATATCGCACCCTGAAACAAACCTGGAATCTGGAATGTCTACTGATCTTGTTTTTAAACGAACCTTTGTTCTTTGGATTTGAAAGCTGATATGCTATAGATGCACCACCTGAACTGTGTCCCATGATGGTAATTTTGTTAGGATCTCCTCCGAAAAGATGGATGTTTTGGTGGGTCCAGCGGAGTGCGTATTGTTGATCTTTGAGGCCGTTATTTCCAGGAATGACGTCGTCTTGGGTGGACAAGAACCCTAAATTATTTATTAGTGAATGTGTGAACTACAACGAAAAGGTTTTTACCAAATATCCCTAATCTGTAGTTAAAGGTGACATATATTATATTGTTGTTAATAAGCAAGTCTGGTGTGAACGGTTGAGGAAAACCGTCAGTAAATCCTCCCCCATAAATGTAAAAGGCCACATTTAAAGAGGTCTCGCAATTTTCGTCTGGAAGCTACAAGTTTTATGATGTAGTTAATTTAAATCAAGCGAGACTGATATACTTGTGGGGTGTAAACATTAATGAATAGACAGTCCTCAGATTGTACATCTACATCCCTCGATGTTTGATAACAAGTCGTATTTAACAAGGTGGTGTTTAGTACTCCATCCCAACTGTCGTGCGGTTGTGGGGGCTAAAAGTTAAATGAAAAACTATATATTTTAGGAAAAATTTTTGCCAAACCTTGAAACGCAGAGATCCTACTGGAGGTGCCGCGTATGGTATTTTTTCAAAAACAAAATAATCGACGTTTTGTAAAGTGGTGGCCTTCCGTCCAAGTATTTTTCCAGTGGGTAAATGCACTAATGGGTCACTGTTGGTAAATGCTATTTGTAGTAAAATAAAAACCACAGCCAGACAAGGAAACATTTTAAAAACACTAAATAAGCAAATAGGTCGATGTTTCAAGATGTGTTTGGTATAAATATAAATATTCAACGAACGAGGTAATCCCCTCAGGTTTTACCGTATCAAGTTTACTTTATGATTAAAGAGAATCGTGTTTTCACGAAACGAAGAACGTGGATTGGTCGCTAGTTGCAACTGGTTCTAGTGATTCACGGGTTATTGGCACAGTAAATATTGAATGTTTTTAAAAACAGTCAAATCAAGGTTGATATTAAGAAGTCGATGATAAGAAATAACTCCACTTACGCTATGCCGTGATGCGACCAAAATTTGCAATGTAAAGCTAAACAACGCTGTACTAAAAATGCGTTTTTTTTTATTCGTCACCAAGCAGTACCTGAGTACACTTAAAATATTACTGTTGTTCCCGTAGTTCTTTGGGTATATACAGAGTTATGATAAAGTAATGCAAAAAATTCATGTTATTCTCCATCTTTTGACATATGTGAAAAAAATTTTACGTTAAATTTGTGAAAGTTATGACATCATCAATGATTTTTTAAAATGAGACGCTGTTATTTTGATCAGATTACTTATTTGATAAAGCTTATTTTTCTACACAAAAATAAATGGCGAAAATTAATAACAAACCAAATAAACATGATCTGAACATGAAACAAAATTAAATCCAAATAATTCCAATCCACAAAATTTAGATCACAGGATTTGGTTCCAACAGGATGGGGCACCACCACATTATGGCGTAAATGCAAGGGTTTTTTGGATAATCAATTTGAGGGAAGATCGATTAGAAGGCGTGGACCAATAGAATGCCCACCTAGGTCTCCGGATCTCACACCCCTTGAATTTTTTTTATGGTAACATTTAAAAAGTCGTGTTTACATGAACAGACTCGATAATTTAGACGACTTGAAAGTGCGGATTCGTCATGAAATGACTCGTATAGGTCCCCAGAGTATTGAAAATTCCAGGTCTACCATCGTCTAGGTTTGTGTCAGATAGTGAATGGTGAAAAGTTTGAACAATTTCTATAGCATAAATTTTTACTTCAACGTATTGTTCTGTTTATTTAATATTAATCATTAAAATCAAGTTTATTTTGTTTATTATTAATTTACTCATTTTTTTTTTTTGTTATGAAACCTCTACATCAAACTAACGGGTCTTCAGTTGAAAAATCACTTAGAGAATGCCTTGGAATTTTTTTTTTTATTAGATCCATTTGGCAGAAACATAACGTGTTATATGTTATAAGAACAGACATACCGTTTGTGTCAAATGATATTTCAACGCCTACTCTGACTGATTTTTTAGCTGGACACCCGTTACACATTCATATGTAGAAAAATAAGCTTTATCAAATAATCCGATCAAAATTGTAGGGTTCTATTTAAAAAAAAAAAAACATTTATGACGTCATAACTTTAACAAATTTGACGTAAAATTTTTTGACATGGAGAGTAAAATGGAAGGCTTGACATATTTTTTCAAAAACAAATGCTACGCTTTTTATGAATTTTGTGCATTACTTTTATATATGTATATTAAGAAAAAATTCAACCCAAAGATTAAGCCCCGATCTAAATCGTAATGAAGTTTTTATTCGTGGGCAGACCTAGGTGCGGAGCCTAATTGCAAAATCCATATTTCCCTACAAAATTTACCATTTTAAACATGTTTTAAGTTTGTAAGCATAAGAAAGATCATCACAAACGAGTTGGGGTGGGTGGGTGGGCTTTATATTTTGCCTTTTTTCTTAATGGACATAGTATACTTTGAGTAACACGATACTCAAAAACATGTTTTTAACTCTTTGTAAAGAAATACAAATTTTGCAGTTAAGTTTAAGTTAAACTTGGTTCACGGCGAATAAAAAAAATCATCATAATTGAGAGAGGGCGGGTGGGCGGTCTTACATTATGCCTTTTTGTTTTAATATGTGTAGACTTCTTTTCACAACATGAAACTTGAAACGTTTCTAAAGTTGAAAATTTATGTAAGGTAATATCGATTTTTCAATTAGGCTTCGCCTCATAATTGCAAAAATCTCTATTTCCTTGCAAAAATTTACTATTTTAACCATGTTTTCAGTTTCTTGTTGTGACAGGATGGCTATGATATTAAGAAAAACATGGTAAAATATATGCCCCGCCCACCCACCCTATCTCAATTCTGATGATTTTTTTATTCGTCGTGAGCCAACTGCAAAATCGTTATTTTTATACGAGAAATTAAAAATATGTACCCTGTTGTTCAAAGAATACTATGTATATTAAGAAAAAATTTAACCCAAAGATTAAGCCCTGATCTAAATCGTAATGAAGTTTTTATTCGTGGGCAGACCTAGGGGCGGAGCCTAATTGCAAAATCCACATTTCCCTATCAAAAATTACCATTTTAAACATGTTTTAGGTTTCATGTTGTGAAAAGAAGTCTACACATATTAAAACAAAAAGGCATAATGTAGGCCCGCCCACCCGCCCTATCTCAATTGCGATGATTTGTTTTATTCGCCGTGAACCAACTTTAACTTAAGTTTAACTGCAAAAGTCTTATTTCTTGTTGTGAAAAGATGGCTATGATATTAAGAAAAAAAGGCAAAATATATATATGCTATTCAAGATTCTTCTGTATATAAATGTTAGCTACGGAAATTTGACAATTTTTTACTCCCTGAGCGTAAGCTAAGAACGTATGGTAATCGAGTCCATCGGTTTATGGCCACTTTTATATTTTCTCAATGTTTCATGGCCCCTAGAAAGCGAAAAATTAGTCTTCCGTTTCCGTCTGTCTGTCTGATATCGGTATCCATTTTTATTAGACACGTAATGTCCGAAACTGCTGGACTAATTGTTGTCAAATTGTCAAGACGTCCAAATAGAAAACAAAATATTATGGCTGGTCTCCCAGAAGCTCTAGACAGAATTGCCAACAATTCGTCATGATACAGGCATGGTATCGGAATTACTGCATTATTTATGATAACAGCGAACTGAAACTCATAAGTTTAGGCCAAATAATACCTGATACTTCTAGATCTCGCTTAATCAAAGTATTTCTCAATAGTCAGTCTCACGCCGTTAAATTCATACGAAATATGAAAAGGAGACTCGATTGATGTTACTAACTACAGGCCGATTTTTTTACTTTGCAATTTTGCTAAAAATTTTGAAACTGTGCTGTATCAACTTATCTCTCCCAGTGTTAAACCCCTAATTTCTGTTCATCAACACGGTTTTATGGAACAGAGATCTACAATTACCAACTTGGCTTGGTTGAGTCAGTTCACTTCAAATGTTATCGATAATAAAGGTCGGGTCGATGTGATCTACATCAACTTTCAAAAAGCGTTCGATCAAGTCGACCATTATATTCTTCTTGGAAAATTAAAACAATTTAGTTTCTCTGAATCACTGTTCTTACTATTCAAATCCTATCTGTTGCAACGACAACAATGTGTCAGATACAAAAACTTCTTTTCTGAAATGTACATATACCTACCAACTTCCGGTGTGCCTCAGGGTTCTAACCTGGAGCCACTTTTATTTTTATTATTTATTAATGACATTTATTAATGACATCATGCCATTTCCGCTAGAAAACTACTTTTTGCTGACGATCTGAAAATTTATAGTAGCATAAATACTGTGACTGACTCCCTACTGCGTAGGGATCTTAATTCCATCTGTTCATGGTGTGCTGACAATCGCCTCTACCTAAATAAGAGCAAATGATATATTGTGTCTTTCTCCAAAAAACATACACCTATCAAATATCATGATTAATGGATCTCCCTTATAACGCTCCACTGCTGTGAAAGCTTTAAGTATTAAGCTTTCGATTCTAAATTTACCTTCAATCAACATATAGAAGATATTACAGCATTCAAATTTCTAAAAAAAGAATACTATACAATAATACTTTCCTTAGAATTATAGATATTATTTTTTTATTATCTTTATGGTTCTTGATTTACTTAGTTTGGCATTTTATTTTGTATTTGTTTAAGTCATTTCAAATTAGGTTATGTAGGAGGATTGATACTTTAATTTGTTCTATTTCTTTTTTGCATTTATCTATTATATTAACCACTCGCTATGTTATAAATTACTATGTTTCTGTAATTGGTTGATTTCCCGTAGAAAAATAAAGCTTATTATTATTATTAAATTGTGTATGTATATTAGAAATATTATGTAGATGATTAAATGCTAACCAAAATTTTGATAATTATCCTCACCAACAATTTGATGACGTTATTTGAAAGAATTCTATGTTTATTGTATTTAGGTAACTGTTATTATTATTATTATTATTATTAAGAATTACAATGTCCAACAGGCGAACCCAATTATAGGACAAGGATAATCTTCGGTTTGAATTAAGCATATCTGAAAGTCATCATTTTGATGTCAGCTTTGCTGCAACAAAATATATCAAGACCATCTTGTTCAATGCGAGAATAATTTTTTATCATCTTATACACAGGAGACATCTGCAGTGCGTTAGATTTTGGTGTTTGTAGCTGAAAAACATTCAGATTTCGAAAATTGAACGATTTGAACTGAAAGAACAATTTGGACAACAGATCACTGCAGTCAACAACTCCTGATACAAGCTGGTGAAGAAAGTTGATTGAGAAGTATTCTCGCCTGCTGGATAGAGATGGGAGGTCAACATCCTTAAGGAGAAAGCTATGATCATACCCTCTGGGCGGATATGAACCAGTACGAAAATAGAATAGAGACTTTGCAAATCGACGTTGCACCTTTTCTACAGAAGTTGTATGGATATTATATATTGGAGACCATATAAAATTTGCATATTCTAGCTGAGATCTAACAAAAGTTTTGAACAGAATTAAGAATGTTTCATTTGAATTAAAAAGTTTACCATTTCGCAACACAAAGCCCAATGTTTTATAGGATGACGCTATGATGCTATCGTAATGGTCACAGAAAGACATTTTACTGTCAAACATGACACCCAGGTCCTTGATCGTTTTAGAGCGCTTTAGAACTGATCCATCCATTGAATATTCAAAAACAGAACTGTTCAATTTTCTTGTAAAACTCACTACACAACATTTATCTGTATTTAAAATGAGGTTGTTATTCAATGACCAATTTA